ACGGCTAGCTCTTCTCTCAATATTTTGCCCTCGGTCTTGAAATTCTTAGAGCACAGGATTCTCTTATACAGCTCTGCGTCCATTCCAGATGGTCCGGCTGAGCCCTTGGTTTTACTTGCCGAGTTGTAGATCGATTCTTCGTCTATGAGGTCATAAACATTTGGCGGAATATAATCAATTGGGCCATGTAACAAACTCTCCTCTGCGATATCAGCTGCCTGTGGGTGTTTGTCCTGTAGCCCTTGCAGGACATCTGGCGATAGGTCGAGCAGACCGGACGAGCTCTCGTTATCTAGGAGTTTCATAGCAGCTGTCAATTTTCCTTGCAGAACCAGCTTTGAGAAGGCTTTGGATATGTCTTCAACCTTTCTAGGTTTCTTGGAATTCACAAATTTCCCTTGAAAGAACCTCACTTCTTTAAGCAACAAATCAATGTCCCCTTGTTTCCAGAGTGCTAATCGACGCTCCATTGCTTCACTATGCTCCTTGCTTTTGGAAGTAGCGGATGGTTTTTGCAAAATCAAAGTTGGGAGCACCATGAATGCTTTAAGAGCGACCGAGTTCAAGTCAGAGTCTGAATTAAATTGCTTAATAATAATAATAATAATAATAATAATAATGATAATGATAATGATAATAATAATAATAATAATAATGATAGTGATAATGATAATGATAATGATAATAATAATAATAATAATAATAATAATAATAATAGTAATAATAATAATGGAGCAGTGAAAAAAACTTGATGATGTAGGTTACTATAAGGACCTTGAACTTACTCCAGAAAGCCTACTTTTTTAGACACCTAAGGCTATAGGAAATAGCTTGATGACCTGGGGATACGTGACCACTGATACAACTAGTGGTGTGAGATATGAACAACAACAACAACAACAACAACAACAATAATAATAATAATAATAATAGCCGGAAACGCATATACAGTGTAATGCATTTATAGCTCTAGCTTGCAAACCACGCTTTTGAACCCCATTCCTTGCAGATCAGCGTTGGAGATAATAGGTATTTTTTTATCATAAAGTTTACTTGCCTTGTGACTACAATAGTGCAATTCGTGGACAGCTTAAGGGCCCAGTGACCTATCTTTTGAAGCCGTTGCTAGGGAAAAATTTTGGTGGTGTAGCTTGGACTCCTTTTGTCATGCATTGGTCATTTTATAGCACTGTACTTCCTGGTGATACGCAAATATAAATATGACGTCATCGGACCGCGCCCACGCTCACGTGACCAGAAACGAAAATGTCTAAAATCTTGGAAGTTTATCATTTCAACCATGTTTTTTTTCGTGGATATTTTACTGTTGATTAATTTCTCATTAAACAATGCATCGTTTTTGTTGTATTTCCTTTGAACAAGATTTCTAACCCAGATTTGAGGTACCGAAATGGTCATGATTTGCTTCAAAGAGAAAAATTCCAGAAAATGAATGCATAGTTTTTTGCGGAATTTCAGTCTTAATTGTCCGGTACCTTTAAAATAGAATCTGAGCCAAAACTCGCGATTATTTTAGAGTTTTTTGTAAACCGGAAGTGGCTTTCTTAACGCATGCGTATAATACCTACCCAATATGCTGTGCGTGCGAACCGACAAGCAGTGGAACGTTGATCGCGGCGTTGTTTCGTTGTGGGTTTTCAGGACCTCTGTAAGTTTATTTATATATGAAATTACTACGCCGTGGACGAAAGTATTCGTGAAAAGGAAAAGATTTACTTAAGATTCTTTTATGGGCTGAGAGAGAAGATAAAATGATAGAGGAAACTGTTTCAGGTCCCTGGCGGACCGTACGACCGTGCGAGTCGCAGGATTGTCGGTGTAAACAAGGTGAGCAAAAAACTTTTAATTTTGCCTGTAGGTGACCTTTGGGTATAGTTTCAACGCAAGATAGCTGTAAACACACTATTTACCTCATCACTGGGGGATTACTGGAGCAGTTGATAAATATCCTTTTAAGGTGGCTTGGTTTTCGGAAGTTGCTTGACCCGTTTGTTCGTACATGGAAGCTTATGTTTTCAACTGTTCATTTATTTCTTATTAGTTACAAACATGTCTTGCTTCGTTTTGTACCAGTGCGTTTAGTATAATGAACCTGGCATACATTGCATTTACATATACAACTTCTGTGTTGTGAATCCTGGTTCCAGAGGTTTTTCGCGAAATTTTTCTTCCCGTGAGACGAGAGGCACGATCGACAAAAACTTTCACGATTGACGCGGCGAAGAAATTAGACAACCTTCTTTTCCTCGCTCGGCTGTTTGAATTTTTTTCAAGAAAAACCTCTAAGACCGGTGTATTATTACCGGTATCTACATTTTACCCTGTTGGCAGTTTTCTTTTGTAAATAAATGCACTATTTTGACTTTTATTCCTCTCACAACTTTAAAATGTTTACAGGTAAAAATACATGTATGGCTTTTGCTGCCGGCTCCTTTACCACCCATGGTTATTCACCATGATAAACTTGTAAATGACCCAGTATCTTGTGAACTATAATGTACATGTGCTTGTTATTGTTGAAAATTGTGTCATGAATTTAATATTTACAATGATTTGTATTTTCTTTTTAGTATTTGCAAAGAAGGCAAGTCTTTTATCTAACCCCTTAGCCAATTTGTCAACTTACTCGTGGTTGATTATTTTGATGTATTTGCTTGTGTTAGTTTGCTGAACCTGTTTCTCAACAACGTCAAAGTATTAGTCCAATCATAACAAAGCATGTTCACCGCAAAATCTGTTTGTCTCAATAATTGTATAATTTGTGTGATCATGATTGTATGTTTTGAACTTAATTTTTTATTGAAACAGCTAGCCTTGTGTTAGTTTTAACCTCAATCTCAGAAACCTGATTACTTGAGGTGATCAATGCAGTTTCATACATGTTTATTGTTTGTAGGATAGACACGTCCTGTGTAAACTTTTCAGCTTTCTCGGACAACACTCAAAAGTGGTTTATAAAAAAAAGGGAAAAGAGAATTCATTTTTCATCACATTTTACCAACTGCAAGATCATGAGAAAGAATACATCATAAAATACTTTTTGAATGTTAGGTGAACAATGTTTCTTTTGATCAGAAATAAGCCATGACCAAGCTATAATTTATTATTTTGAGCCCTGACTGTGTCTTCTTACTGCCCATAAAAGTACCCAGCTAGCTTTCGACAACACACTAGAGAAAGGCCTTTAGCTCTAAGAAAGTGGACAAATTGCTCCTGCCCTTGAAATCTAATTCTTAGGTTTTGTAAATCTCCAAATGAGAATCCCTGGCTAGCAACTTTGCGAGCCATGCCCCCGGACACAGTACTTCCTAATTTGAGGAGAAGGGTTTTGCTCTTTTCTCTTGTTTGTACCATGGCTTTAAATTTTTTCTTTTGCTCTTGAGCAGTCCTCAGGAGAGGTTCGTAGAAGGGAATTATATGCTTCAGGTCTGTGCAAAACAATACATCTCTCATTGCTTGCACATCAGCCAATGCTCTGTGGGCTTCAAAGTATAACAAAGTTTAAGAGTTTTATGTTAGAAATAAAAATATGAAATTAATAGAATATTATGCATGCTTACACAGAGTTTGGATATTTGCATCTCTGGATTTAGTTTAGCCTATAATCATTGCCAGTTGTTCATACCAATTGAGAAATGAGGAGGGAACTGAAGCTGAAATGTGTCCCACAGTTGTTTCTTATTCTGGGGTTATTACTGGGGGTGGTGGGTCAGCTATTGGCCATTTTTCGCTGTCCCTAGTAAACAGTCTTTGTAAAAGTTCACTCGGCCCAGTTTGTTATGAATGGAAAATTTTTAGTGCTCCATGAAACATCATAATATTGTGATGCAATCAGACTCTGCGCTACTCGGACTGGAGTTTTGCTACCGCTATTGTTTACTGCAAGTTGAACTAGAAGCAGTTATCACATTTATGTCCCCAACAAATTCTGAACCTACAGTGCACAAGGTTTACCTTGAAAATTTGCATTTGGAAAATACAATGCATGTAGTGCTGGCATGCCAAGCTTTTGGTGTTTTTGTAAGTTTAGTTTTCCTTGTTTCCTCATCTGTTGAAAATAAACAAATTGCTCAAGTATTAGTTGTCTTCTTAGAAAACCACTTGTTTGTCATAAGAGTGTCATGATTACCGGTATATACTTGTACTTCTGAGATAGAAAAACTACATATCTGTCCAAAAAATGAATACATGTACTTAAACAAAGAATGCTTTAGCAACCAAGTTAATTCAGTGTTGTAAATGCAGTGTAATACCATTATTACAGAAATAAAAGTAAAGGAAGCAATACATGTACACTGCATGACTGCCAAAATCCATACATTTTTGGTACATTTTCTGCATTTCCTTCTTAGCATTAAAATTAAAATCTCTCAATCTTACTGTTCGCAGGTTCACTAATGAATCTCCAAAGCAGATGTGTTTGAAGAGATCATTTTTCAACAGGGGATATCGTCTGTCCACCTCAGCAAACAGGAGTGGAAAGTCATAAACAAAACCATTATGCGCAATCAGTACTGAAAAGAAATACAACAGTTTATAAACGACTGTTCATGAAATAATCCCATTCCTATTTTACTATTGTAGTAGCTTGTCATCACTATTTCTATAACATTTCTTCTTCTTATATTTCAGAATTCTGATCTCAGCCATATAAATATTTATTTTTAATAATTTAATAAAATGACATTATTTTTACATGGTTTTGGACTTTGTGCTTTTTTCTTATCTAGAATGGAGTATTTTGATTTAATTTTGTATACAAGAGATGGACTGTCGTTTCATTTAAGTAGTATGACTTTGTGTACCTGGGAAGTATTTTCTCTTTGTTGATGTGGAAATCTCATATGTCAGATTTTTGATCCATGATATAAACCTTGGAAGTACTTCTGATAGTTTTGGTTGGTTTAAAAGGTCAGTCTGTTTTATTCCACATTTTTTCACAACTGAAAAACAAAATATATTGCATGTAATGCTATTCAGTCTTGTTGTTACTGATCTTTAATCAGACAAAAACACTAAAAAATGGAAAAAGCATTATTTCAGATTATTGATTACTTTCAACCTCTAACCTGGTGCGGCTATTCTCTTAGAGGTGTTGATGAGAGACTGGAATGTAGATGGGATGTTCGTTTCTACATTGCCAGGGAGAGGCTGCAGAACAGCAGCAATCTCCACTATGTGGTCCTTATAGACTGATCCCCCAGTACCTTCACAATCATATAGAAAGTACAGTGGGGAAGGGCTGTCTGTCACTTCATCACTAAAAACTGTCTTGATTCATCGTCATCGCTGCTGTCTGTTAAATTGGAGGTGTAGTTATCTGGTTCAGATAACTCATCTTCTGAATTTTCACTGTCACCACTTTCCTCTGACTCGGAACCAGCTGTTCCACAGTAGGATGTTGTTACTGAAACTGCCTTCAGTGACTTCATAAATTCCTTCTCTTTTTCATGTTTTTTCATCTTCTTTTTTTCCTTTCATTTCTAAGAGAGAATATGAGATAAACCATTCTCTTTTGTAATACTACTCATTGTTTTGAATGAATGTTTTTGAACAATTTGTTGCCTTTAATAATACAGTCATTCACATTTTAGATGTCAATTTCTTAACTCTAAGTTTCGTTTTAGTAAAATGCACTTTACCTAGCAGCAATCGTTATACATTTGTATTTGTATTTTTCCTGTCTCAATTATTAGTTGTAAAATATTTTTATGAAAATTAGCAGTTCATAAATTAAAAATAGCATTATAAAAATTAACCTTTTCTTTTGGTAATCTTGTGCGCTTCTCATCTTGATCTCTCTGTCATATTGTTCCTGTCTCTTGATTATACATTCAACTGACTTCTTTGGCATGGGAATTTGAAGGAGTTGGAAAAGCAGAAGTACCCAGATAGGACCAATGTTCTACAGAAAAGTGTTGTCAATGTATATATGAATAACTATTACAGCAGCTTTAGCTGGATATTATATTTTATC